GGCATGAGGGTCGGTTGGGCGATCCGGGCGCTGCTGCTGCTGCCCCTGGGGCTGTGCGGGGCCCCGGCTGCCCGGGAGGTGAGTCCGCACACACCGGGCTGCCAGGGAGCCTGGGGGTATTGCTAGGGAAAAAAACAAACCCCAACACGATGTGTTTCTGAGCCAAAATCCATCAAACCCCGCTAACCGAGAAGATGAAGCTGCTCCCCCCGGGTGGCTGTTGGGTCGAGCAAAGTGGAGCCACGAGAGCTCGTGGGCTGGTTTGCTGGAGTTCCTGCCGGGTCGGGTCCCAGGAAGGGATAGCCTTGTATCCATTTGTTTTTCTTAAGAAAAACACGAGGAGGAAAGTGAAGCTGTTCTTCTTCTTGCAGGAATTTCTCGGGGCTTTGGATGCAGAAGGTGTTTTCTCCTATTTTGGAACCAGCTCAGTGGCTGATGGTAAGCAGGGCTCCTTTTGGAACGGGTCTGTCAGTTGATTTCTAACCCTGTGTGTAAGGACACATTATCAAAGCCTGTTCTGACAAGCATTTAGCATTTCTGAGCCCTGTTGCTCAGTGAGGCATTTCATGTTTCAGTGTGAAAGCAGTTGCAGAACTGGGTCAGTATCTGTTGAAGGAGACAGAATCAATCTTTTTGCACATTTCTCCTGCAGTCCTCATGCTTGTATTGGTTATTTTTTTAATGAGATTAGCAGGTCCAGGTTTTCTGAGTGGTAAGCTTTAGACTAAGAACAGCTTTAAATGTGAAAAATTGGTGTTTTTTTAAATAAGCATGTGGATAAACTAGTACTCTGGGTTTGGGTTGATGGTAGTTCAGCATAATGACATGTTTTACATTCTCAAATCCTTAATGCAGAGATGTTGTCCACTTGTGAGTTCACCTAGTGCTCATCCCACTGTCTCTGTCTGGATTTGGATAATTCTCCCTCAGTAACACATGACATCTGAAGAAGTAGAACTGTCTGTGCCTTTGTTGAATGAGCTGCTCTCCTTATCAAAGGAGCAAAAGCACAGATAAATTAAGATCCAGTTTCAGAGCTGCTGTCTGTTCTCAATCAGATTATCCTCAGTTTGGACTACATGAAGGCACAGAGGGGTTTTTTGACTGCTGATAAGAGTGGCCCTGAAAGGCCACATTTGTCATTTGGAGGGTAGTTTTTCCTATGGAAAGAGATACTTTCATTTGTTTTCTGTGGATCATCCTTTCTCCAAACTCTTCCCCTTGTTCTGGTCTTGTCCTGTTTCTTTCAGCACCCGAGTTTGTTGTTGCTGAGCCAACTTGCCCTTGTAAGGAGGAACAGATGGGGCTGATGTCCTGTCGAATTCAACACTGCTCCTTTGAGGCCTGGGGAGAACTCTATGCCTTTGAGTTTCTAGAGGACCATGCCCTCCTTTCTTCTTCCTTCGTGAGCCATCAAGTGGTGAACTCTTCCTTTAGCCTCCTGAAGCAGTTCTCCACCAACTGCTTTGCAGGTGGAAATCCACTGCAGCCTCCTGGGGCTGAGTGTAGAGTCACTTACTGTGAAGGACAGCTGGTGAGTATGCACTGAGCTTATTTTTACAAGCATTTACAGCCCTCATAGGTTTGCAGCTTGATGCTCCAAACATGTGTGAACCATCCATTTAATAAATCCAAGCATGACAAAGGAGAAACAGGAGGGATGTTCTCCATTGACAGCAAATGCCTTTGCAATAACTCACTGATGGAATTTCATCCCCCTTAGCAAGGAGTCGTCATTGCAGATGAGGAAAAGATTCATATCAGGCCTGTCAGAAGCAAAGATGTGGCCCTGCTGAAGGACCTTGGCTTCTCCAGACCCCACATTGTCTTCAGAAACCCTGCAAGAGCGGAAGGTACAGCAAGAGGTAACATCCATGGAGAGGAACTTCCACTTTTTCTCCTTGGAAAAGCTGTCTCCTGGCAGTGGGGTTGTTTGCCTGAGCTCAGAGGAAAATCCATATCTACAAATACAAGTCTACTTGATAGTTCCTCCCCTCACTGAGGTGGAACTAGTGTGTGTGTGTGTTTAGCTGTTTGTTATTTTGGTAGCCTAAGTGTGTCTAAGCATGCTGGCAAGTGAAAGAACCCAGCAGAAGTGAGAAGCCTGAGCAAGCAGCTGGTGGAGTGGTCTTCCAGCTGGATTGTTCTGGTCTTTCAGGAAGAGGGAGCGGAACTGTAGGACCTTTTATGGTGTGTTGCATTTTAAACTCTGTGTCAGCAGGGCCTTTTCCTCCTTGCCTTCAGAAGAGGGCTGAGGGAGCTGTCAAACATCTGGAGCTGATGGTTATAGCAGGCCCAGATGTTTACTCGTACCACAAAGAGGACACGGAGCGATATATTCTTGCCAACCTGAACATTGTGAGTAGCTTTCTGTTTGGATTGCTGTCCCAGTGTCAGAGCTCACAGTGTCACAGGTGGAGGGACCTCTGTGAGTGCCCTTTCAGAGGTCTCTGGTTTCCTGCTCCTTGTGCAGAGCTCTGCTCACGTGCAGGGTGTTCCTCTCTGCTTCTCTGGGCACTGCATGGCAAGTTTTCCCTTGCAAAGGAGCTGCAAAAGGAAAAGGGGTGTCAGAAGCTTTGGGACTGTAGCCTTACAGCCCAGGTAGAAATTGTAGCTCTTAATTTCATTACTAATGATGTTGCATGTCAGATACAGGAGCAAGAGTTTCATTGCCAGAGCCTTTGCCCAGCCCCTGTTGGTTTCAGTGAGATTGAACAAGATCCACTGAATTAATCTTACATTTTATATTTCAAGGTGTTTTTTTTCAGTATTTTCAGTTTGTTGTTTTTTCAGTATTTTATATTTCTCTTAGAGGATTTCTCTAAGTGTCTTTGCTATTAATAAGAATTTGTTTATGCATTTTCAGTGTGTGTATATTGCAAAAAAAATCTTCAGGATTCTCCTACCTTATGAAATTGTTTTCTGTGCAGATTTTTCTTTCTGCTTCAGAGCATCTAACAACAGTTCTCATCTGTTGACAGATTAATTTACATTTGTAGTGCATACTTTAATGTTGTATTTCCTGGTGATTTTATAGTTACCCCTGGTGTTTATCAGGACTGTTACCTCTGTAGTGAGCACAGCCCAGTTTTGGGAACAGGTTAGTGGGGGTCACTGAGGTGCCTCCTTGGTTGAACCTTTTCTGTCTCTGAACAGGGGGCAGAACTGCTGAGAGATCCCTCCCTGGGTGCTCATTTCAGGGTTCATCTTATGCAAATGCTTGTTTTGAGAGAACCAGAGGTAAGCAGGGAGGACTGTGTTCAGCTGTTGTCCAAGGAGTTGCTAAAAGCTGTAAAAGCATGTGGCTTCCCTCTAGGCAGAGGTAAACATCACAACAAACATCACCTCCTCACTGATCAGTGTTTGTGAGTGGAGCAAGAAGGTCAACCCCCAGAATGACTCTGATCCCCAGCATGCTGACATTGTCCTCTATGTCACCAGGTACTGAAGCTCCTCTGCCCTGAGAGGGGACTGGAAACAGGGCTGGTGGTGTCCAGCTGTGGGGTTTGCACTGGGTCTTCCAGCAATAGGGCATCACAGAGTCTTTGGAAGTGGGTTGGTTCTCCTGTTTGGGTTGGTTCTCTTGCCCTTAGTGTGATGCAGTTACTCAGAGATGCTGTTCCTTCTGTTTCTGAAGGAACTGAAGTATTCCCCATGCACCAACCAGCCAGACTTGAGCAGACCTTGTGTGTTTCCAGAGCAGCACAGCCAAACCCACTGCAGCTTTCTGTGGGCAGGCATATCAAACAGTAACTGGAAGTGAAAAGCCATTGGTGTTTTCTACCTGAGATATCTAGTGCTGCTCTGGTCAGACATTTTGTCTGACTTTTAGGCTTTTTTTCTTTAAATTGCCTTGGTTTAAATTTGTCAAGGGCAAACTTTCTGGAGTGTACTGGCTTTGTTTTGGTTCTCTTTCTTCAGAGAGGTGGTGATACTGCCCTGTCATTTGCAAGCAGGATTAGGTGATTTCTATTCTGTTCTGCTTGTCTGGGGTCATGGGGATTTTTAAATGTGGAATCACCATAAATTTTGAACCATGGGTGTTCATGGGACCCTACTGCTACTGCCTTGTCCCAGGGAGCTCCAAGTGTCAAAATAATGTTAGGTAGCTGGCAAGTTAGATCAGGAAGGTGCCAATAAATTCAGCTGAATTCAGTCTAGACCTGACTTTTCTAGCTGCAAAGGTTCTTTGCTGTTTCCTCTCTGTCTCCCTTTAGGTTTGACTTGGAGTTACCTGATGGGAACAAGGAGCTCCGTGGAGTGACTCAGTTAGGTGGAGTCTGCTCCTCCTTCTGGAGCTGTGTCATTACCCAGGACACTGGCTTTGACCTGGGAGTTACCATAGCCCATGAGATTGGGCACAGGTCAGTAGGATAAGCCCCAGAGCAGCCCAGTAGGTTTTATTTGGGTAAAAACGTTCCTCGGTTTAAAGGATTTAGAAGATGGAAAATGATGTCCTGGTGTAACAGGGGATTTCCTCTAGACTATTATAAACTTTGGAAAGAGTTCCTTGCATTTCTGGTGTTCCTGCATCTTTTGTGCCAATTAGAAGCTGCACAGAGGAGAGAAAACCTTTGTGATAAAGTAAAGGAAAAGTGAAGAAAAAAAAAAAGTAAAAGTAAAGTAAAAGGAAAAGCTGCAGAGGGAGCTCAGCCTTTGCTTAGAGAAGAGAAGCTCTGAGGGAAACCAGCCTCTGGGTTTCTTCTCCTCAGGGCACTGTGCTTCCTCTCTTACAGTCTTGGAATTCCCCACGATGGAGAGGGCAATCGTTGCAGCAGCAGTGGTTACATCATGGGCTAAGCAGGAACCCACAGCAGCATCGACCTCTCCTGGTCACAGTGCAGCCGAGAGGAGTTCCTGGCCTTTGTCAGGTAAGGGAGGAGTTCTGTGTGTGGGAGTGCTCCCCTGTGCTGGGAGCTTAGGAGAGGGCTGGGAAAGACAAGGAGTAAAACAGGATGTTCTTGGAAAATGAGAAACTGTTAAAAAGCTTGGGGTTTGTTTATGTCTTATCACTGTTGTTGAGGTTAAGCCCAGTTTGTGCTTCAAGTAGCTGGAAATGACTTTGGTTAGTGACCAACGTGCCTGGGCTGTGTTGGACTTCTCAGACACTACCTCAGCCTGGAAATTCCATTTCAAATGTCAGAGCATCTAGGTGTAAACAAGCACTGTGGGCTGTGAGCTGGCTGGGTGAGGAACAGGAATGGGTTTCTGTTACAACTTCAGCAGCAGGGAACTGCGAGGATCTCCAGGCAGCTGCTGCAGCTAAATCCATCACAGCCCACAGTGAGCATGTGTTGTCTGGGAAAGCAACAGCCAACTCCCAGAATGAAACTCAGCACAAGTTTGCAAACATGTCATTGTCCTTACTGCCCACAGCTGGGAAAGTGATATTTCCTATGTTTCTATCAGCACAGGCCAAACAAACTGCTTAAATGACCTGCCGGACACGGACGGCAGCATCCCTGGCTGGAAGCCTGGCCTGTACTATGGAGCAGATGAGCAATGCAAAATAGCCTTTGGGAGTGCTGCCACAGTGTGCACCTTTGCTGACAGCAATGTTGTAGGTAGAAAGTTTGTTTGTCTTGCTGTGGGCAGCAGGGAGATGTGCTGGTTTCCAGGAAAAAGGGAACTGGGGACATTTTTCATTATAAGGGGATGGAAGGTGCTTTCCTGGTACGGATTTCTTGGCAAAGAACAAACCTTCAAAGGCTTTTGAAAAGCTTCACTTCTCTCTCACCTCCTTTGTGCACATAAGTCTCCTTTGAGGTTTGCACAGTACCCAAAGCCTTCTCTCCAAGCAGGGGGCTGGTGGTGCTGATGTTGAGTTTACCTAGTCAGGGCCCTCTCCTAGGGAGCTCTTGTTCATGGGACTCCCTCAGCTTCCCCACCACTGCTCAAGTCCCCATGTCTGAGAAATGCAGCATGGCTGATAGCTGCTGTTCAGGCATGTTTGGCTAATGAGGAAGCACTAAGGTGGGTGAAACTTGAATTGCTTCAGTTGGTCATTTTCTAGCATTGCAGCTGGTGGTGATGGGCTTTTGACGTGCCCACAACTTTTGCCCAGGAGGGCAGGAGGAACGAAGGGACTTGTCTGCATTGTTGGGTACCTGTGGGGAAACCAAACAGCCAGAACATGCACCATTGAAACAGAGCAGTTTTTAGGACTGCTGTGTTGATGAGCCTGACTCCCTTTAATCTCTTATTTTCTTCTCACACCAGGACATATGTGAAGTTCTCTCATGCCATGTAGAACCAGGAGACAAATCCAGCTGTAATCGGCTTCTTGTTCCCCTCTTGGATGGTACTGAGTGTGGCATCAATAAGGTAAGGAGACTGCTGGTCTGGTGATAAGGAGTGAGTGTGGATGCTCTGGAGCTCATTAGACAGCAAGATGTGGTTGGTGGCTGGAAGGTACAGGGCACTCACTGCCCCTCCAGTCATGAGTTTGTACCAGCTGATCTTGTGTTTTGACCTTGTCCGGATCTCTGGAGTTGCTTTGCAGTTCTGTAGCCTGATATCTGAGTTCTCTTCAAAGCCTTTGCTTTCCACTTGAAATGACCTCTGACCTCTTTGTTTTAACCTCAGCCTCATGGTAGAGCTTAATTAGGAATGAGGTTCTTCTAGACTCTTGTGGGAAGGTGCCTCATTCATCTTGGGATTCTGTGTCATAGTCTGGCCTGTAAAAAGATGGGGACTTGTGCCCTGCTGCAGATCCCAGCCCTGCTTCTCGCCCTCCTCCTCACCCACTGTGGTTCTGCTGCTAATCCTCTATACTCTTGGTCCTAGTGGTGCTCCAAGGGGCAGTGCAGCTCTCTGGAAGAGCTGAACCCCATGGCTGCAGTCCATGGGCACTGGTCTGCCTGGAGCCCCTTCTCCTCCTGCTCCCGCAGCTGTGGAGGGGGTGTCGTGCGGCGGCAGCGGCTCTGCAACAGCCCCAGGTGAGGGGGAGCTCACAGTGCCTCCTGCCTGATCCAGGGCCTTGGGGGCTGAGTCTGCCTCTTTGCTTGGCACAAACCCACCTCTGCTGAGGAGTTCTTCTGTCATTTCCAGGCCTGCTTTTGGGGGGCAAGAATGTGATGGTGCCGGCATCCAAGTGGAGATGTGCAATACTCAGGTACAGGGGCTCATCTCCTCTTCTGGGCTCTTAATACCTTTTAACTCTTGGGGAGCTGTGTGGGCTGGGGCTGTACTTCTCATGGCTGCCTGCTCTGGGAAGGAGGGCTAAAGATCTGGCTTACAGCCTCCATCTGTCTGACAGCAGAAGCATTTGTTCCACTGTTTGAAGACAGCAGTATTATTTAACAGCTTTGTGCATGTGTAATGAAGCATTTTCTTTCTGCCTCCATAGCAGGACAGACACTGAGAAAATAGTGACTCACTTAATGATAGTTTTCTTCAGAGGGACATTCTTATATTGCTCCTATTTTCTTTATCCGTTTATTTTGTGTAAATACCAAAGATACCAACTTCCAAACACAATTCTCTGCATATCCTGCAGCTTCCTTTTGATGTGGTTTTCTGTATTTGCAGTTGTTTTGGTGTTTTGCTTTCTGCCTTCAGCTAGTGGGTAAAATGCTGCTTGGAATTCTGTGCTCGGTAACTTCCTTTCATTACCCATGCAATTCTTTCTGGGATACAGGCCTGTTTGATGACCCAGGAGGATTTTATGGCTGAACAATGTGCAGCAACAAATTCAAAGCCACTGTATCTCACTGTGGAAGCACCATCCTTTTATACCTGGACTTCTGCTGTTGGCTTTGCCAAAGGTAAGGAAAGCTGGAGAAACTGTGGTTTCTGTGTGAAGCTCCTGTACTGGTCTGTGCTTTGAAGCTGAAAGGCTGTTTGACTGATTGTTCTAGTTTACAGATGAAACCTGGATACTCTTTCTGTCAGATACTTTTGAGTCCATCCCATGGCTTGATGGTCAGCCATGTGCCTTTCTGAAAGAGTAACTTCCTCCTTCCTCTGTCTGCCTCCTGCAGGGGACTTGCTGTGCAAGCACATGTGCAGGGCTGTTGGAAAGGAATTCATGGTCAGGCGTGAAGACAGTTTCACAGATGGAACCAGATGTGAGCAGGAGGAGTCTGGGCAGCACGGGGCTTTCCATCTGTGTGTCATGGGAAGCTGCAGAGTAAGTGACTGGGGAAGCCAGGTCAACCTCTGATGTGCTATCTGCCCCAAGGGAGTCAGTTTACTAGGAGCTGGGGGAAAAAGCAGTGTCCCAAACAACAGAGGGAGCTTTTCTCGGAAGAGAGTTTTACTCTTAGCTTATTGGGTGGAGTCACAGAGTGGTTGGGGTTGGAAGGGATCTCTGGAGATCGAGTCCAATCCCCTTGCCAGAGCAGGACCACCACATAGGGCAGGTCACTCAGAAACACATCCAGATGGGTGTTGAAAGTCTTCAGGAAAGGAGACTCCCCAGTCTCTTTGGGCAGCCTGTCCCAGGGCTCTGTGACCCTCACAGTAAAGAAGCTGAGGTGGAACTTCGTGTGTTCTCATTTGCATCCATTGCCCCTTATCCTCTGACAGGGCATGACTGAAATTAGATTGACCTCTCCTTGACACCCACCCTTCAGATATTTATATACATTAATAAGATCCCCCCTCAGTCTTCTCCAATAAATCTACAATTCTATCTGTGCATCCAGTGCCCTGTAGATAAGACATTCTGCTAATTATGCAGGAAATATTTAAGGCTTTTAATCCCTAATCCAAGAAGCAATTGGTTTGTGCATTAGTTGAGGAGATGTTTGCATGGTATAAATAACCCTATGAAATCCTGACTCTTGGAGAAAAATTACATGATTTGAACATACTGAATCAGTGGCAAATTAAGGAGTAGAACGTGGGAAAAGGAAGTTGACAAGGGGATTGTTGCAGGAACTCAAGAAAAACTGAAGTACAACTTTTGTTTTGGACTGGACAATAGGGACATTCTTTCATGATGAACTTGAATGCAACTGCCCTGTGCTGTCTGCTTTTTAATAACTACTCAATGCTGAGCTGCTTGTATGTTTTCTGTTGTCTCTTTACCTTCCCAGAAAACGCTTTTAAAATTGTATGTTTTTCTCATTATCCTCGTGTTCACAATATTTTATAAAGCGTTTCCACCGAATGAACAGCAGAGGGTGCAGCCACAGCCTGCGCTGGTTCCTGCTGTTCTGTTGGCGCCAGTGATCAATGTGGATGTTAGGGCAGCATCCAGAGCCTGGGATCGGTGCCTCCAGCATAAATTCAGCAGTTGCACGTGTTTTGCTGCTAAGCCTGCTGAGATCATCCTGTAACTTCGTGTAAATGAGTCTTGTTCATGGGCATGAGGGTAGAATCCCTTTTCTGAGCTCCATGGGATTGAAGGTCAGGCTAAAGGTTTGGGTTTGGGGAGCTAAAGATTCCTTTAGAACCTGCCATTCATGTTTACTGTTCTCCTGGGCTTTTTTAAATTTTCCCTCTCCCCTTTCCAGGAAGAGTTCATAGAAGAAGGGGAGTGCAGAACCTTTGGTTTAGGTCACAGGAGAAATCTTTCTTATGGGAAAGAAAATGCCACACAGTTAATGAAACTTGTGGTCTCAGCTAAGATGTTTCAATCTCTGGCTTTGTCTGGACAGTGGTAGGTCTAGGTACAGATGCATCTTTGTCTCTGTTATCATCTTAAATTCAAATTATTAATGAAAAAAGCATTTTCAGGAATTCAGGCAATGTTTTCTTCTTAGAATAAGCAAGTCTTGACAGACTCTTCCTTTTGCTCAGGCTTTCGGGTGTGATGGCCAGATGGACTCCAAAAAGATACTGGACTCTTGCAGGGTCTGTGGGGGTGATAACACCACCTGCACTGAAGTGAGTGGATCTTACACAGAAGGAAAAGCTAAAGGTGTGTAGTCCTCACCCTCAAGCTCACTGTTATGGTACTGCTTGTATCCATATTGAGTGTCCATCATCTTCTGTACATGACTCCTTGTTTGTTTGATAGAAGATCTGGTGATGGAGTTTGGGTAGTCAACAAAAAAGGCATTTAAGACCTGTAACAGGGAGATAGTTACTGTGTAGGCAGGGTGACTTTTTGGGTCACAGTTCTTCTCTGGCCACGGACCATGTAGTCATTTGGGAAGTCTAGCAAGTTGCTGGGAGCTGGGGAGCTGTGTCAGATGCTTCCTGAGCTCTTAAACATCCATTTGGCAACTGATCTGGCTTATCCAGTATCACATACAGATGCTAGCAGAGAACATAAGAAGAACAAAAGAAAGAAGAGGACACAGAATTCAGTTCAGTTTGGTTTGCTGTGTTCACCACCACCATGTTCAAGCCAAGCTGACAGAGGTGAGGTCAGTGTGGGCTTGGCTTGCTGGCCAGCACTGTTTGTATCCTTCTTTTGTTTATATTAGCTAAATAACCCATCTGCAGTTGTGCTCCAGTGCATAATGTGCTAGTAAGGTGAAGAGGGGCTAATCTGTAATCCCCAGCCTTTTAACAGAGGCACAGAAATGGGAAGTGACCATCTCTTCTCTCCTTCCATCCTTCCAGAGTATGTCACGTTTCTGTCCCTGCCTCGTCACGCCACCTCGGTCCGTGTTACCAATCAGAGGCCACTCTTCACACACCTGGGTGAGCTGAGTGAAAAGGAGGTGAGGGACTAGAGGGAACAGGGCTAAAATGAGCTTGTGAAAACAAGAAAATGGAACTGGGAAGGAAAGTTCTTGATGATGCAGTTTGAGGGATATTTTCCAGTGGGAAATGGTAGAAGCCATGCTCTTTGGGGTTTCTCACTGGTTTGGGGTTTTCAAACTGGTTTCTTACAGCTGCCAGAACCAGGGCATTCTGGTGACCACATCATGTCTCTTAACCTCCCTGCTTCTTTTGCTCCTCTAGCTGTGAAGGTTAAAGGAGACTACGTGGTTGCTGGAAAAGGAAAGATCTCACTGAATGTCACCTATCCGTCCGTTCTGGAGGACAGCCAGGTCAAATACAAAGTGTTTCTCACCAAGGACAACCTGCCAAGCCTGGAGGAAGTCCATGTGGATGGGCCAACAGAAGAAGAAATGGAAATACAGGTAAATTAAAATAGCAGAGTTGGAAAGGGGCCAGTGAGGAGTGGGCAGGCTGAGTTTGTGTAGCTCTGCTGCCGTGCAGAATCCAGGTGGTGCAGGCTTGGTGTCCAGGGGTGCTGGGAAGGTGCTCACTGAGAGTGATGATGTTGCTTTTGGGAAAGGCTGAGTGTTGACTGCCTACAGGGCATGGTTGTGTGGGAAAAACATTCTGAGTTAAACCTTTTGCTTAGCTTAATCTCTTTTCAGTGCCCAGAATTCACAAGTTGAGCACTTGGACTATGTCTGGCAAGAACTGAGAGTCATAGCACTGAGGCTCGACTGGATGGAGAAAGGGAACTAGTTTCTCTTCTCTCCATCCTAGGGAATGAGCCTAAGTTGATTCATGCATTGACCCAAAACGTCCTTCACCAGGTCTATCGGAGGTATGGAAAAGAATATGGCAATGCCACCAACCCAGACATCACCTTCAGCTACTTTGTTCCCAAAGACAATCTGACCTATAAGTGGATTCCTCAGCAGGGACCGTGTTCAGTGACCTGTGGGGAAGGTGAGGCAGCAGTATTCAATCCTCATTTTTTAAGGAGACCTGGGCAGAATTCTAGTTTGACTGGGTAGTCACCCAGGTCTTTAACCCATGGGCTCTTCTGGGCTGAGTGCAAGAAATAGAACCTCAGCAGAAGATACTTGGTTAGAACTTATTAAACAACTGAACTGTATTTAAAGGCAAATTGCTGAGAGTGAGCTGCATTTGCCAGTGAGAAGCTGAACCAAAGCAAAGAGTGATGCAGCTTTTGAATTCAATTAGCAAATCAGCAAATGAGATGCATCGTGAAAATGTTTGATCACGAAGATGGTTTTAAAGTAGGGTTTTAACTGAACTTCTGGGTTTAAAACTAAGTAATTGTCTCAGATTTTTCAGAGTGATTGCAGCCTGCCATCTGAGGCTGGCAAAACATCAAAAAGTCTGAGACCAAAGCAGTATCTAGTGTCTAACTAAAGCCTCAGAGCTAATTATGAAACTTCCTTCTTAGAATTCTATTCCTGTGCCATGGCTAATCCTTTTGGTCTCCCTGAAGGAATAATCATGCAGATGGGAACAGATCATTCTGGTAGACAAGCTGACATCTTGCTTACCAGATAATACAGAGCACACTGGCAAGCTTCTCAAGACTTTTATGACAAGGATTTAGAAAATACATTAATGAATACTTGTGGAAGTCAATCTGTGGGACTTGTTATGCCTGGAGAGCTTTTTTCCAGCAGATGCCTCAGGTGAACTGACTGCTGAAACCCTGAAGAACTCAAAATGCTCTAGTGCCTCCCAGCTATTGCAGTCACCAAAAAAAATAATGAGAAAGCTGGGACTTAAAATAACAGAAAGTTGAGAGTCTGAGCTGAAATTATATCTTGAGAGCTAGAAGTGATGCTCAGGCCCTCATTGGGGGAACATTATTGGGAAACAAGGAAGGTAGGGAAAAAGATAACATTGCTGATTGATTCTTGACATTTGCTCCTCAGGGTCCTGCTCTGAGATTCAGGAATCCCTGTCTCTCTGTGTGCAGCACAGTCACTGCAAAGGAGATTCTACAGCTTTGCTTGTAACTTTTTTGAGGTTGGATTTTCACCTGCTTTACCTGTTAGGTTCAGTATTGTTAGAAATCTAGTTTATACCTGTTTGTTTCATTTCTCTGCCTGTACCCAGTCTGGTTTTGGATGTTGATGATCACGTTGAGGACATTGGCATGGTGCTGTCAGGGGACAAAGGCTGTGATGATATTCCACGATTAGTTCTACAGGAGGTCATTTTAGAAGGGCTGACTGCTAGAGGTTATTTTCAGCAACCTGCCCCTCATCAGTCAAACATCAAGATGATTAGATGTAATTTGGACCGAATTATGATTGATATTCTTTTTCTTGCAAACAGCAAGTTGCTTCTCATGGTAGTTGATTATTCATCAAACTTCTCATCTTCTGGGGTGTTCATCTTGGAAAAGTCGCTTTTAAACTCTTGAGGAAAAGTTATATGATAAAAAAGGAGTTTTTGTGTTTACAGAAGGGCTGTATTCCCAAATATGCCATTTTCCTATACAGATGATTTGAGTAAAGCCAAATTTCTGTATCTTTCCAGCATAAAAGATGTGAACTATTCACTTTGTTTATAACTTCCTTTCTTTTTGTGTCCCAGGGACACGACCAGTGCATCATGTGTGCTTTGACCATTCAAAGAATGAAATAGCAGAGGATCAGTGGTGCCTGGGGCTGCCACAGCCCCTTTCAGAGCACAAGGCCTGTGCCATGGAGCCATGTCTGTACAGGTTGGTGTGTTCCTGGAAGCTCAGCTGAATTCTTTCTTTACTTGTCCTTTCTCTGCCAGCTCACCCAGTCTCTTGCAGTCTTACTTACATTGTGCAAGGTGGGAAAAAAAAGAGAGGTATGAAGTAGTTTCTTCCTAATTATAATGGCACAGTGGATTCCCAACCATGTGCTGTCTTTCCTGGTCCCATGAAGTAACTGAGGTGCCAGCTGAATGAAAGGGAGATGGTCCTTCCAGTGTTTTACAGTAGTCTGCTCAATGAAAGTACTTTGGTGTGGCCAGAAGAAGATGTCTGCTCACCTTTCCAGGGTTGTGCCAAGATTTGGTCTTAGTCTGGAGGAGACTCTTGTGCTGATCAGACTGGAAAGAGGACCTAGAGCCAAGCCTGCCTAGATGTTGATCTTACAGACATTTTAGAGTTTAACTACACTGTCACCTGTAGCTCTTTAGCTTAGATGCTTTTGGTCCTAGAGAGCTGTGGGAGCAAGGACTCACATTTCCAGCAGTTGTTTTCTCAACGACGTCCAGTCCAGGCTCTTGAAATGGAGAAGATGAATACTCTGTATGACCCATTTCTGTAATGAGTGGCATGAGTCATAAACCTCCATGATTCAGATCAGAAATAGGGTGATACAATTACTTCCCATTTAGGTGGAAGATGTCTCAGATAGAGGAATGCTCTGCTGCCTGTGGAACTGGAGTCGCCCAACAGAATCTGACCTGTGTCCAGTTTCGTGATGGATTGGAGACTGTTGTGGATGACAGCTTGTGCCCAGCAGAAGAGAAACCCCTCTCCACTGTGCCATGTGTGGTTAATGTCTGCCCTTTAGGCTGGGAGAAAGTGAGTTCATTGGCTTGGCTGGTTTCTGGAGTCTCACTGGGTGCTTTGCACTTGTGATCCACAGGAGGATACCAGTTCAGAACTCTTGGAGGCTGGGAGAGTGGTTTACACCAAGGATATCTGGCCAGTTAAATGTTCATCCTGTCACTTTAGGCATCTCTGTCCCTCTTTATTTATTCTACTGAGTTCATCACTTCCTAGTGGTGGTTTGTTCAGGGCAGCTGTTGATTATGATCCTTCTGAATTTTTCCTTGAAGACCCTGACAAAAGCAGAAACAGAAATAACCCCTGATGCACTGAAATACCTCACTGGGAAAAAGAGTGGTTCTGACATGGTAGGGAGAATTGCTAGCAGGAAAGGGGGTTTCTCAGCACAGGATCACTGGGCCCATTCCATACTGGGGAGCCACTGCCAGCTTTATATTTACATATGGGGAAGATGCTGCTCGGGTGGAGTGAACTGTGAGGGATCCATGTCCTGCAAGAGTGGAGAAAGTGTTTAAATGTGCCCCTTTCTTCAGTGACAGGAAACATGTTGTAGACTTGATCTGGAGGTGTCCCCCAGCTGGATTTAGATCAGGACTGGTGTGGAAAGCAGGTGCCTGGCTCAGTCTGGGTCTCTTTTCTCTGCTCTGAGGAGGAAGATGCAAACTCACTGCAGACATCGGAGTCACTCGGGCATATCCAGGTGGAAAATCAGCCCGTGTATGTCTGGAGCCCTCAGGCTGGAGAGTGTTCTGTCTCCTGTGGGAGAGGTGAGATCTTTCAGTGCTGCAGGGAAACGTTACATGGCTGTAGGAGTGAGCTCAGTGCCTGGGAACCTCAGGGACCTGTCAATGCCCCTCCACAGTTCTAAGTGCCTGGGTAGCTGTGGTCACATATTTTTGAGTCTGGAAGAGGGAAGGGGGCCTGTCTTAGATAGGGAATAGTTTAGAGGGCTGGCTGGGTGCTGCTGCTGTGCTTCAGAACTTTGGGGCTTGAGTGCAAGGGATGTGCCTGGGGCTTGGGCAGTTTGTTCATTTTGTACAAGCAGATATGACTGCCTTGTCTTGGCTTGTTTTCAAGCCTTGCATGCATGCCATGCAGTGAGGCTGCCTCTCCTTCTAGGTGAGACTCAGCTACAATATGTATGTGTGGCTTTTGACACCAAAGAACAAACCCAAGAGGAAAACTGTCATCCAGTGCCAAAGCCAGAGAGCAGAGTGGAAGTCTGTGATCTCAGTCCCTGCCCACCAAGGTAAGGCATTTTACCAGGAGGGAAAGA